ATGTCCACGATGCCACGCCCACAGAACCGGTAGTAAAAAAAATTGAATCCTACCACTGTTTAGGCCAGTCACTTTCTCTCAGCTCTATAAAGGAGCAATGGCAAACCACTTCTGAAGAAATCTTGGCAAGAAAATTGTAGGGACCTGGCCAGGCAGTCTCCAAGAATTAGATGAGATTGAATGAAGGACAGAAAAAAGAAACAATTTACTTCACGGAAACTGACAAGTGCTGTTTTTCTGGGTAGCTCTCTTTCTGTCTGTGCTTGCCTTCACTATTTAATCAAAAGGGAGACTAAATGATATAAAGAGGGGGTGACTTTGCCCAAAGGAGGAAAGAAGCAGATCATGGCTGAGGTTGCCTGCAGTTCAAGTTTTCCAAACACAGCTCAGAGCTTCCTAAACCTCATTGCAGAAATCCAATGATATCTTTGTCTTTTTTTCACACCTTCCAAAGACATAGAACAGCTGTAGTATTCCTTCAAGCAACTTGACATATTAATAACTGCAACAACTTGTCGTTATAAAAATGGTTAGTTATATATTAATGTGTAAAAACAAAAAGTTGAGGCCAGAGTGTTTTTATTTTGTACTGTGCTAAGAAGAGTTAGAAGTCAACATCCCCCTTTTTGTTCTCCCCACAATGTATCTCACACCTTCTTTTCCCCATTCCTTTTTCTTTCCTTAATTTCCCGTTTCTATTTTTTCTTTCTATTTTATATAATTAAAAATTAAAAAAATATTGAATGAGAACTGTCTTCTCTGCTCAACTAAAATTGTATGAAGAAAAAAAATCTGCATTGGGTAAGAGATTGCTGAACATATCCAAAAGTTTTGGGGCATATCAGAAGGTCTTAATAAACACAATGAGTTTTTAACACAAAACAACCATTCACGGATATGATATTATCCATTCACTCTGTATGACTCTTGGTGATTCTATGGAGCAGGTCTCTCCATATCTTCTGATCTAGCATTACTTCTTTGATTTGTTCTGTGTTTTGGTTGCTGTCAGCTTTGATGGTGGTTCATGGATAAGGTACTGTAATTAGTTTCACATGTAGCCCAAACCTACACCATAATGCTGTCTTCTTCTCTTTTCCACTGACTCCTTCATCCAAAGTTTAATGTCAGGATTCCAGCAGCTACCCCAATTAAATCATGAGTCTCGAGCCAAACTTCCAAAACTTCAAAATGATTTATTGGGAGTTAAAATATCCGGCACTACCTGGGTGTAGCTGACTCCAAGACACATAATTCATTGTCACCCTTGACTCTGGTTTTCCCCCACCTCCTGGACGAATCATAATTCATATTTTCCAATGGGACATATCCATAGCCAAGTATTGTCAATCATGTTCTCCAGTAAGAATTTTGCGTGGCAGAAACTTCAGTCACCTTGTTACTATCTTTGAAAACTATTTCTTGAATGCACTTTCGGTTTCCAAGCTGCTGCACTGCTCCCCCCTCGCTTTCTGTTGGCAACTCTAAAAAGACTATAGAATATTTTATGAGTTGACATTTAAATCCTATATCAGCCTGGCCATTTTTTTATTTTTTATTTGCATTTGATGGAATGAAATTCAGCTCATGTAAGCTAATATCTTTCAGTAAATTTGTTGGTCAGAAAAGATGCTCCTAGAGTCCTCTTGATTTTATTTTATTTTGTGCCTGAGGGTAGTAACTCTACACTACTGATCTGTTAAATTGTATTCTTTGAATCACCTGCTCCCTCCACCTTCTACATGACGTGATTTAGTTCCCTACTCACTAGGATTTTCTTGGTTGACTTGTCTTCAGTTACTGTGGACTCATTTGACGTGACTTAGGGCTAAAACTTCTTTATATGCATCCTAATTTCCCTGACAAAATTAAAGATCTGATTACCTTTTCTGGGATTACAGTATTTGATGGGAATCCATTCTCAAAATTCTGGAATCTGGAAATCTCATTTGTAATCAATGAGATATATAATCAAAGACCACCATGTAAACACATGTAGAATTGTGGTGTTCATTTCTTCATCTTGCGTTTGCAAACTAAATTCTATCAAGCTAAATCATTATATTGATGCAAAGATATAGGGCACTATTGTACCTGCACTGAAGTGTTTCTTTTCCAATGCATTATGTACTCTAAATTTATTTTGCAAGCTCCATGTACATTGCTTGCATAATAAAAACCAAAATAGGTCATGTATTGTAAGGCTGATGTTTATTTGTTATATTGATATGTGTCATGAAAGGAACTGCATACCATGTGATTCTGGTGTTTTGTCTTGATTATTTCAGAAGGATAAATGCCATTATTTAAACATTATTATGTAGGGTAGAAATACTATCAGCAGGTCGAATGTTATCTTCTTCTTCAAGTCAGACTATCTTCAATATATCTTTGAATACCACAGTAATAAAGACACTAGCAGTAATGATTTCTTCCCTTCATAAAAATCTAGCATTTCCTGCAGTTTATTCAAATTCTTTAAGTCAGATTTAAATTTGCAGATTCATTCATTCATTCATTCATTCATTCATTCATCCATTCATCAAATTTACATGGCGCCTACCTCACTATCCAAAGAGACTCTGAATAAAGATCTGTTTTGTGTATTATTAACAATAATAGATTTTCACAAACATGACAATGAATCAACCAATGCTATTCATTAGTGAAATTGTTTAAAGTGAAGCAAAATAGGTCTATAGAACAATTTAATAACAAAATTACATTGACTGTCCAAAATATTGCAGCCGTCTAAGGCAATCTTTAAATAAACTTATTAGCTGTACAACAGTTTATTCATTAAAATGATAGATTTGCAATGTGGGTGCAAATAGCTCTTTTTTTTCTTTTCTTTTTTTTACAAATATTAATTTTCTTCCACCAAGGTTTTAAAGCTATTTTATTTGCAGGCAGAACATGTTTAATTTTTGAGTGTTTTATTTTATTTCTATAACTGGGGAGCTGGCAACTCCTGAGGTTCTTAGCCATCCAGATCTCTTGATTTAACTCTTTTTTTTTCCCATTAGGAGTCCCAAAGATGATATTCTCATCATATTTTTAGGTGAAAAAAACCCAAATGCAGGAAACACCTATGCCAAAACATCATGAATCTACTACTTCTAATTTTTTCTATTTTTCATAATCACTTTATGGAAAAACAAATTAGTCTTTTCTAATTAAAAATTAAAGAAGACCAGCTTGTTTCAAAATCTTCAATTATTTTTGTATCCAAAAATGGCCCTGTGTTATTTTGGTTGTTTGGGAGGTTTGTCTACCTACCTAGAATTAAAGACAAAGGAAAAGCAATAGAAAGATGAGAAGCAGTTTAAGAAGTTAAAAGCACCATAATAATTTGCCATCCAACAAGTCCATGTTTTAGGACTGACCATGCCCCACCATATTAGCAACTGTTTGTCAATGAGGAAGCCTTTGCATTTATAATTATGTGCGCTACTTGGGCTCCACATTCCTACTAGGCCCACTAGGGCCAAAAGGTCATTTTTCCCTGTGCCCAATTTGTAATTTTTTTTTTACATTCAACCTTACAATTCAGAGAAAGAAGGATGGTTTCATGTTTATTAAACTACTTCTGCAGGGACTCTTTGCTTGAAAAGTCCTTTGACAGAGCATGAAAGATACTATAATGTGGTCATGTCGTCTTAAACTATTTGTCTAATTAACATGAGAGGTTGCAGCAATTATTTTTGTTATCTCTGGCACCTCAAGTAAAAGAACTTAAATGTATGAGGTGTTTTTCCCCAAACACACAGAAAGGCACTATAATGAGAAAGAAATATTCAGCAATATTTACTGTTGAAGTAGCAAAGCAAAGGAAAAATATCAAAATAAATTAAGGAACCTATGTGCATGCTTTGATTTGATAAGGGCTGTAGCCTGTATCTGAAGAAGCAAGATTCATATCTGTTCAATAATATCTTAACTGTATTGACTATGTGTAAGTGTAGCTTACACACAGCTAGCAATTGATACAATGAATATTAAGAGGTGTAATATTAGAAGTCTGTTTTGTAATATTGTTTTCACTTTGACACTTCTGAGTTGGTGAGAACACAGTTCTGCCAGTATTAGGGCTGTGTCAAAATCAATATGTTACAACAGAAGTTTGGACTGACACTTTTAATTTAATCCCAACAATCCTGGGCTGCACAAGGAATGTAGATTTATGTTGATTGAGAAAGCTGCACTTGTAGTCTATACACAAGTTAACAGTGAAAAATAAAATAAGCTGCATATTTTCAATGCTACTTTTGGAGGTATATTTAAATCCCCAGCACCATCCTTATATCCACATTATATTTATAATTCTTCAAAGGAATGCATCTTATTTCAGGTCAAATTCCCATACCATCTCACTTTATATGGTATATTCAGACTGATCTCAGCTTCTGAATGTCTTAGCCAGGGAATCCTATCTCTTGCCTAATTCTTTTTACCCATGAAACAAGGACGACATAAGGAATAGTCTTCATAGAAAGCATATACTTCATCTTTAATCTTTCCTAGAGAAACGAGACCAGTTCCTGCCCTATAGGAAGAGGTTCCCACCTCCCCCCCCCACCGGGCCCAAAATTCAGACGGTCTCTACCTGGTGGTGTTTTGAAGAGCCTTGAAGACTTGGTTCTTCTCCCAGGCCTTTGGCCAGGGTGAGTGAAGCCCCCTTGGATTGTGTGTGTTTGTTTTGTTGCTATTATTGTTCCTATTTGGTTCTTGTCATCTTTGCCATCTTTGGTTCTTCATTTTTGTTTCTCGTATTTTCTTAATGTTTTTATTTGTGAATCATTGAGAGTTAGGTGGCATTCAAGTTAAATAGATAGATAGATGATAGACAGGCAGACATACATACAGACAGACAGACAGACATAATTTTCTAGAGATAACTGTGTATGACCTTTACACTTGATTTTTCTTATATTTTCATCAGTAAGAGGGCAAACGTAATATGTTCAGTCACCATTCACTTAAGCAGAGGAAAGTCTTACCTTAGTGTTATTGGTACAAGGGCATCCCAGTTAATGGAGTGATTGGCACTCACTATCAAAATGTTTGGAGAAGGGCCACAGCCAAATCGAGCAGTTGGCTTCCCATTCACAAGGTAAAGATGAAGGAAATGTTCTTCTGCGAATTCATCACGAGCTTTAAAAATAATGAAATTATTTATTTATATGATACTTACACAGAGATAAAAAAAGTTCAATTCTTGCTCAGTTTTAAACTCATTAAGTGCAGGAGATTCTGAACAGACACAACCCACCAATGGAAGAGAACAAAATCTGATATGAGTTATCTACATGATCTTTTGAGATGGTCATTCAAAAGGGAGATGTTCTTAAGCGACAGAAAAGGAAGAATAAAGAAAATGAAATATTGAGAGCATCTTGGCAAGAGCCAACTGAAACTTGGGCTTATCACTGATGGTAAATTTAAGCATTTAAGTTCATCTCAGAAACAGCATATTAGAAATGTTGGAATTAGTCCTGCAATTATATATCAGTGTTTCATGTGTTATAGTCAATTGAAGTAAAAAAAATAAAAATAAAAATGATCTTGTTCTTTTAAGTTTGCCATCCAGCTAGACTATATTTGCATCTAAAAAGCAAGCAAAAGATATGCAATTGAAACTGCCACAATACTCCAGTGCTTGATCCAACAATGCACTTTTTTTCTCTTTCAAGTATCAACATTCGTGAAAGCAAAAAAGTCTTTTCTTATCAATAATTTATTACAGGAATGTGTATAATATGCCACCTGGAATATGGTCAAATGTATATTCAAACTTTGATCCAGCATGCTATGGTAAAGTCTTAGTTCTTCCCCGCCCCTCCCCCCCAAAAAATACAGAAGTCCACTTCTATACCCACAGCAAAAATCTCCAAATTAGTGTCTGTTTATGGCAGAGTACTTATGTATTTCTACATAACTGACAATACTTTTTTAAAAATCCTTCTCTCATACCTCAAGAAAGTTTGTTGTATAGGAAGCAGAATTCAAAAAAATTGTTTAGTAATAAGGAAAGCTTTATTTTCCTTCATCTCAGCAAGTATCCAAAATGGCTGTTCTAGTGGTAGGCCTTAACTTATGGCCACAATTGAGTCCTGAATTTTGGTTGTAAGTTGTTGCCTTTTTTATATGAGTTACCACATGAACTGACTCAATTTTACAATCTTTTTACAATGGTCATTAAGTGAATCATCATGGTCATTAAATGAGTGAATCATGTGGTTGTTAAATAAATCCAGCATACCCGGGGGGCCTTTTGTGCTGTTTTCTGCTGGAAAATGGCAAAAGGTCACAATTCATGGTCCTATGACCATGGGGCACACTGAAACAGTTGTAAATGCAATCTAGTTGCCAAAATGTGATCATTTGACTATGGGAGAGAAGAGTGTGGCAGACATAATTTTCAAGGGTGAGATGTAAGTACTTTTTTAAAAGTCTATCCTAATCTTGAATGGTCGTTCAGTGACTGTCATTAAGCAAGGATTACCTGTATTACCAAGAGGTCTATTTCAAAGTGTTTACTAAAGATGCTTTCAGCCTTGGAAGCCATATTTTACTTGGAACCTTCGAGGCTGCCATATTTAGTGCCTGGGAATTTGGGAAGGGGGGATTTCATAGAGAAATGGAAGATTAGACTCAACAACATTCTTTCACTGAAAGTCAAGGACATGTTACCCTGCACCTGAAGAGGAGTGTCTGGAAGAATGTCACCAGTTGGGACATTGTTTGATTGGATCATGTGATGGACTGGAGTGCAGGGGATGGATCTTTGATTTTCTTTTGGGAAGGGAAAACTTGGAGCTCTCAGATTCAGGTTTTCCCAGATGTGCCAATATGACAACTCTAATAAAATGGAACTTTGAGGAAATACTTGTCTTGGAGTTTATTGGGTTGGAGTTTGTTAGTTGGAACACTGACAGAGGACTTTCATCATCATCATCACCACCACCACCACCACCATTTCTCTTCTTCTTTATTAGAATGACCATCTGACCACACAATTCTGTTTATTGTTCTATCCTACAGTCTTCTTGTTGGTTTTTAATGCATTTTTCCTGTGTCCTCTCTACCTATCCATTTGTGATTTTTGTTACTGCTACTTATTTTCTCAAGCTTTTTTTTTCTCTCCCAAGCATCTTTAACATCAGGTATCCTGTTCCACAACTTTCTTATAATTTGGAAATCTTCTAGCTGGTGGTGGGATTCAACATTTTTTACTACTGGTTCTGTGAGCGTGGCTTGGTGGGCATGGCATGGCTTGGGGAAGGATACTGCAAAATCCCCATTCCCTCCTCACCACACAACTTGCTTTCCAGCTCTTTTCTCCTGTGCAGGGCAACTAAAGAAGACCCAGCCGATCAGCTGGGACTCGGGAGGCAGAGAATAGATGGGGGCGGAGCCAGTCAGAGGTGGTATTTGCCAGTTCTCTGAATTACTCAAAATTTCTGCTACCGGTTCTCCAGAACTGGTCAGAATCTGCTGAATACCACCTCTGCTTCCAGCCCTCAGCTAGCTCTGTGGAAATATTGAATCAACACCAAACAGACAATCTTCTGTGCCCATACCCAATCCTTGCTGTTTTCCTATTATTTCAGTTTAGTTACTGAGGCCTTACCATCACAAGGCATGCTGACGGTTAGATTGCAATCCAATGAAAGTAAATCACTGCCGAACATAGCAGGGCTTCTTTCTGGGATTTAAGAGACAACTACAAAATGATCTGCACCAAAATATGATTGGGTGCACATGGGCAAATGTTCTGTGAATGGTTCGCCTAGGACAAGGGTGTGAAACTCACGGTCCGTGGACTGGATGCATCACATGCTGGGCATGGCCCCACCCGGTTTAGTGAAGGGGGAAAAAGTCCTGATACGTCACATGATGTCACCATGATGACACAAGTTTGATATTCCTGACCTAGGAGAAAGTACTCCACAAGGAGAGGACCAACCTAGAACTAAGGAGAAATTATCTGACAGTGAGAACAATTAATCAATGGAACAGCGACTTGCTTCCAGAAGTTGTGGATGCTCCATAACTGGAAGATTTTTTAAGAAGAGATTAGACAGCCACTTGTCTGGAATGTATAGAGTCTGCTGCTTGGACTAGAAGACCTTCAAGGTTCCTTCCAATTCTTGTTATTCTGCTTGCTAAAAAGTTTGAAATCACCTTTATGCAATTCTGAACATCTGGAGCATATTGTTTACAAAATCACCATCTGGCTTTGTTCTGCTTTTTAGCTCTCTGCTGGGCTGATGATGAAAATTGTCCCAGAAGTTTAAATGCAGGATCCTGCAGAGCTTAGTGTTGTTTGGATCTGTCTAGGGAAAATAATCATGTTTGGGAAGACTGCAGTGTAACACTTCCCTAGAGAATAACTAAATATCAATTAGCTGGCAAGTTATGGCTGTGATAAATAGCACAGTGAATGAACCTGCAAAGCTCATCACAGCATATAATGCCCTGCCAGGACTGGCAAGTACAGGAACAAATGGTCCATTCTTCTTTTCTATTCAATGAATTTGATGTCAATATAATTTATTGCCTATACCATTTTTATCTATAGAAATCTATGATCCACTAAAATAGAAGCTGTGTGGGAAAGTGCAAACACTGAAATTATTCTTGGGGTTATACTTTCACTGACTAGTTTCAGTGAGGTGAGTGAAAATGAACCATATTTTGGGTGGGGTTCTCTTCCTATATAGGGACCCCCAAAGACCCTTTCAGCCATGAACCCACCTTCTAACTGAGAATTATTCTTTGATCTTTTTTATTATCAGAGAGTTCTACTGTAGAATCCCGGAGTTGAAAGGAATCAATAAGACTGAAAGGAATGAATTGAAACTAAAGCATTCCAGAGAAATGGACATCTAGCATTTGCTTGACCCAATGCAATGAGGGGGACCCTACTCCCTTTTCTAGGTTCTCAATTTTACTGTTGAACTGCTCTTAATGATAGGAAGTTTCTTTGAACATTAAATCAGAATCTGCTTTCCTATATCATGACACTACCATTATGGATGTTGCAATCTGGAAACCAAGAGGACAGGCCTTGATGTGTGTGATATTGGTTCAGGTATTTGAAGACTGCTACCATCTTCTCCTTCTGTCAATATCAATATATTATATCTGGCTTTACAGGACATAGTTTAAAATCCTTCCTGTGATCATCTTCAGGGAATGCCAGAAATTTATGTGACTTGTTAACTTCCTTCGGTCTCCACAAAGATGTCGTCCTTTGCATAGGCAATTAAGTTCCATCATAACTTTTTTTTGACTTTTTATGTGATTTTATAGAACTTTTATCTTGCCATTTTCGGCCTTGAAACTGGGGGACCTGTTGGTATCCACAGAGGATCAAAACACAGAAGATTATGGTTTTATAAGAGGCAGAGTTTATATTACAATATCATTACACAGATGTTGTTATTTTGACAAAATATCTGGTGACTGAGGTGCACATGATTCCTCTGCTTCTTAATAGCTTGGCTAGTTGACTTACAAGTTGTTAACTTTGGTATGCAGATCTAAGTGTCCTATAATATGGGACAGTTATCCGTTTATTCAAGTACATCTTTTGTTTCATTTATTGAAATAAAACTTCTCTCTTCTAGTTTACTTAAATCCAAACACTTCAAAATCACTAAGGCCTGAAGACTCTGATTCAAAAAATAATCTGGAACTATTTATTTAAAGGCTCAATCTTGGGAGAATTGGTTGGTCCTGTTCTATTCCAGTCATCTTTCAGGAGGAGAGGACATCTCCCATTCAAGAACAGGGACTGAAGCTTAATTTTTTTTCACTAGAAGTACAGATGCCTCCAGTCTCCAGGTGAGAGAGTGGAGATGCTAGGAAAAAAATAGGGCTGGCTTGCCTTTCTGAAACTTGCTATATAAATAAAACAGTTATACTCACCATAAAGGAGAGTGCCATTTAAAGCCGTTGTCTTCACAGTCAAGTAAATTGTCACTTTGTTCCGTTCTTTCCCTGATGCAAATCTATCCTCCGACAGGGATGATAGTGAAGGTAGTTCTAAATAGGAGTTTCCGCTGAATGATGGGAAGAATAACGTTGTATCTGGAGCAAACAAAAGTACATGACTGTGTCAATGCAAAATTAGACTGACTTGCTTTTTTTGCCCAAGGAAAATAAGACTTCACTCCATCAGGACCCTGCAAGAAATAAAGATGGCGAGAGAGATATTTGTCACACAAGCCATTCCTATTCTCCTTTTGTTTGCTTTAAAAGAAGAATGATTTTGATGAGAGCTGTATGGTATTCTTGTGGTCATCCTGGATATGGTAATAATTATTCATTGACTTGTAAGTGCCATCCCCTTAATTTTACATAAAAACACAGAAGAATATGAGGAAGCTCTTCTTTTCTCTACAGAGAACTAAATAAGAACGGGAGTCTTCATAAGCAAAGAAGCTTAACAAAAACAGACCCATGAGCTCTTTGGAAGCATGTAATGAGAACTGTAGACTCTAAAGATCTACAGAGTCATTCCTCAGTACTACTAGCACCATTTCTCAAATCTGCTGCTTCAGGTAGCCAATGAGCATTTCTTTTGGCCTTTTACTTGCAACAAAGCTGAGCCAATTATTTATTTTGTCTTTTAAATTATTTAATTATTTTTTAAAAGCAGAGGTAGGACTCCCATATTCTAGGAGATTTTCTTCTCCGGGACATACACTTTCAGCTTGATAAAAGCATTAGTGGCTTTTTTGAAAGGATATTCCCTGACGCTGGCTCTGGTTCCTGATCTTTCCAGAGCCTTTCTTTCTCTCAGCCACTGCCAATGTCCCAAAATGGCATCCCCACAAGCTCTGGTCTTTCCAAAACTTTCATTTCCTCCCTCAACTATCTATTCCATGGAACTGTTCCTTCTAGTGGTGATCTCAACAGGAAGTAACCACGTTCCCAGAATGAGATCTCCCATGGGACTATCCTTTCCTCATCTTGTCATCTTTCCTGATTTTCTCCATTACTAATATTCTTGGCCTTCACAAACTCTTGAATAAAATGGCCCAGTTTTGTTTTCATACTGACCAAGGTCTTTGTTTAGCTACAGATGTCTCCAGATCACTGTTGCACAAAACTTCCTGCCCATCTCTAGACAATCATGATGACTTGGCTGCAGTACAGAAATTGATTGTTACTGCCTTAGGCCAAGATGTTTTTTTCTTTTTCTTTTCCAGTCTAATCTACAGTTTTGGAATTCCTAGGAAGATTCTAACCCAAATACTAAACAGGTCTGAGTTTGCTTCGGCTCCAGACTCAACCATGTTCCAACAGGATGGAACAATCCAAGTTCCAGCAGACAGCAAATTGGTTTGTAATTTTTTTGTTGTTATTAATTTGTAAATACAAATTTTACAAAATTTTGGCAATAATAAGAAAACATCCAAATAAATGTATTGGTCACAATTAAATCTTTATCTATTTCCCAGAAAATACTGCATTGAGTTGGTGGCATAGTGGTTAGAGTGCAGTACTGCAAGCTACTTCTCTGCAGCCAGCTGCCTGCAATTTGGCAGATCGTATCTCACCAGGCTCAAGGTTGACTCAGTCTTCCATCCTTCTGAGGTGGGTAAAATAGGATCCAAATTGTTGGGGGCAATATGCTGACTCTGTAAACCGCTTAGAGGGGGCTTTAAAGCACTATAAAGCAGTGTATAAGTCTAAGTGTTATTGCTATTTAAAGCAGCAGTTGCCAATCGGTGGGCCATGGCCTACTGGTGGGCCACAAAATTTTTTTGGTGGGCCGCAGGGAAATCTCACCCCCAGAGCACCCCCCCCAAAGCAATTAATCCAGGCTGCGCAGAAACACAAGGCTGCACTGCCCACATGGCGCACGGGAACCCTTCCCACCCACTCATTCCTTACCCAGCAAACTTACCTGCTAAATTGCTATTTTTCCTTTCTCCGACAATCAGCTGTTCTGCTGTGTCGAGAGATTTAGATTAGCTAGGAAGCAGGAAATGGTTGGATTTCTTGCTTTCTAGTTAGTCTTTAGATCTTCAGCTCTGCTTTTAAGCACAGCTGAACCTCCCTTAGGATTGAAGGTTCTATTATTCAGTGCAGACTCACGACAAGCAAATTTTATGTGACAGACTCAGGTAGCCGATGGCAGATAGATAGATCACTGAATGATTCTGTGAGCAACTCAATCTGCCTGCCTGCTTTGCCTGATTTTG